TCTACTCCGGGTTCCAGCCCAGGGCCCTGTGGACTGCAGCTGTCTATAGTGCCTCCTGTAACAGCTGCATGACAGCTACAACTCCCTGGGCTACTTCCCCATGGCCTCCTCCAAACACCTTCCTTAGTCTCACCACAGGACCTTCCTCCTGGTGTCTGATAACGCTTGTGCTTCTCAGTCCTCCAGCAGTACACCCTCTCACTCTCACCTCCTTGTGCCTCTTGCTCCCAGCTTCTCACACTCGCACCACAAACTGAAGTGAGCTCCTTTTTAAAACCCAGGTGCCCTGATTAGCCTGCCTTAATTGATTCTAGAAGCTTCTTAATTGGCTCCATGTGTCCTAATTAGCCTGTCTGCCTGAACTGGTTCTAGCAGGTTCCTGATTACTCTAGTACAGTCCCTGCTCTGGCCACTCAGGGAACAAAAAACTTCTCATCCAGTGACCAGTATATTTGCCCTCTACCAGACTCCTGTACCCCACTGGTCTGGGTCTGTCACAATGGTCATGGACAAGTGACAAGTTAGACAGTCATATATTCATTGCAAATTTTTAACAGTTAAAAAAATTCTCAATATTTTATTTACAGCTTATTTAATGATTAAGTATTCATCACTTAATTCCCCAGACAGAGCATTATAATTAAAATTATTATCATTTGTATTACAGAAGTGCATAGAGGCAAGGGCCCCTTTGTGCTGGGTGCAGTACAATTAATATATAGATAACATATATCATGGACTCATCCATATTCATTCTGCCCAACTAAGGGGGCCCACCCGTTCCCCCTAGGCAGTAGCTTATCCAGTTAGGTTGTTCAAATATGGCCTGTGAGGTTTCATTCGTTTACTTGTTTCCTACTCTGTGTCCTCACCCTTTTGTAGATAAGTCACAGTTTACTGCACTTGCCCTGTGGCTCAGAAAGGTAATAGATTTCTCCAAGAAGGCCTATACTTGAGTGTCCTGTGCACTTGGCATATGGCAGCCTGCTATGTTGTCCTCTAAGCCATAATTTGTCAAACAAATGAACCTGATTTCTCATGGTCCATTTTCAGCACTGATTGGTTACATAGAAAGAAGAGAGCATGCTTCTTCCCCCTCCTGCACAGTAGAAGATATTTTTGATAAAACATACATTATCATAGGTGCAAGATCTATGCAAAAGGCATAGAGTCATCTGTGCAAAAGGCATCTGTGCAAAAGGCATAGAGTCAAATAGAAAATTTCATGTGGAACATAAAAATGTATGACTCTCCTGTTTGGGGATCCTCACTTTTGAGAGAGATTTCTATAGTACCTAGTTGTGAGTGAAAGACGACTTCTCGTCTTCCTTTCCTTCATTAGCCCAAGCAACGTTATGCATGCACTCTTTCACACTCCACAGTCCTTCATTGCCCACTTGTTACATATACACACTGTAT